ATTAGTATAGAGATATATATATATATAATATATATATATATATATATATATAAATGTAATATTGTTGTACGTATCCGTACGTAAATAGCGCATTAACAAAAGAATGATGTAAAAAATGCAAAAAATGCTAAGCGAGAGAGAATTAACATTGTTGCAATATAGATATTAGGTGAAGCGCTGAAAATGCAACTAGACCAAGTCCAGTTTCGAAAAATTTTAAATTAGATAGTCGCTCGAAATTGGCATCGTACAATTTGTTTACTTGTATTTTCAGCGCTTCAAATGAATAGGATCTCGTGATTATCGACGATGTGGTACCGTTTCCTTAAATAATAAGAAGCATATATACATACACACGTGCGTGTATATGTGTGTGTGTATGTATATATATATATATGTATATGTATATATATATATATATATATATATATGTATATATATATGTTACAAAATGCATTGTGAAAATGCATTTTGTAACGTAAAATGATGTCCTTTTTGTTTCTTCAGACCTATTTTGAAATCTCTAAGTTTAATCTTAATTCAACGATTTTGATATTAGTATTTTCGAGAAAAATCGAGATACAAGATAAATAAGAATTAATGTCGCTGAAACGGAATAAATTTCGGATTTTATTTTGGGTCTGAAAAATAAGAAGAGCGCGTGCAATGTGGAACTCAGTATATCGTCTTATGCCTGTGTGTGTTGCACGGTGTCGGATAAAATGAATCTAAAAGAAAAAAAAAAAGAAATGTTTCGAGAAAATATGTAAATAATCAACAATATGTTAATAATCAGCTTCGCTTTGATAACGTTAAACGATCATGCTTATCACCGTTGCTACCATATACTTTGTAATAATATAGAAAAAAAGAATTCGCTGGTTTGCATACGGAGATAAGTGTAATCATTTACGAGTGCGACATGCAAACGGCGTTCAAAAGTTTTGAGATGTAGGGACTACTGCAGCTTTGCCTGTAACAAGAATGAATGAACGCCTCTCCGTGGCATTTATTTAACTCATTCTGTATATTGCTTGATGTAAGGAAGAATAAATTATGTTGTCATACGCATACACACGCACACGCATACACGATATCGTCGAACGTTTGTAAACCGGAAATGCAAAACGCAATGTAGACGCCGACTTTTTCCTTTCTTATTTCGCAGAATTTCATATTTTTCATATTTCTTCTTTTATCTTACAATATGTGAATGTATTTATCATATTAAATGTTTTCAGATGTTTATTCTATTGCTACTTTTATATATACATATAATAATTTTATTATAACAGGTTCCCAATTATATGGAATTTGTCTTCAATTCTTTAAAAATGATCTTTTTGGCACTTACATAATTTTGCGTTTTCGATCTGCAATTAGAACTAGATTTATTGTAGTTAAAAAAGATCTGACTATTTTTGTGTCTATGTATTACTCAACATAGCTTAAGCACATGGATGTACCTTGCGCGATAATTGATTTTCTTAATATATTCTACGAGCAAATTTCCTCTAATAACAGACGGAAGGATAAGAAAAGAAAGAGAGGGAATGGAGTGAGAGAAACAAAGGAAATAGCCGTCCGTAATAATCGAAAATGTAGAAACGTGAGCGGCTGAATTTAGAGAGATGTTGAAAGAGATGATCATACGTAAAAGTATAATGTTTGTTGCATTAACTGTAAATCTACGTATTATCATTTTATTTATCAATATCTCACTCAATTCAGCTGGTTCACACTTCCACGTACCATCACCAATTTATCGTTAACTTTATATAGCAAAGTGTATATATATATATATGTTATGTTATTTGTCGTTATCGTTAAACGGCTTTACATATTGTGAAAATTCTTGCGTAAGATATGAATATCGCGTATCGCATCGTTTTTAGAATTATGTAACGCTCCCCGATTCACCTCCGCATATATGGGTATATATGAATCGCGTCATGTGACTCAATTGTTATTGAATCAATTGTTTGTCTTTCGTAGACTTAATCGGCACTATTTGCGCCAATCCGTCGCAAAAACCGGAGACGTGACACATCGGGCGACCGTATACGGAGCCGTAAACGTTTATTTTTTTATACCTCTCTTTACTAGATATTCAGATATAAAATTGTCGTGTATATTTATAACGTTTGCGTAAAGCACGATGGTTCTATAACTTGATATCTGATAAAGTGTAATCATAAATCACTGCAACGCCAAATAGCACGATCAGAAGGATCTCGCGCAAGAATTTAACGTACGCATGACTTTGTTAGCGTACGCCGAGCATATTATTTCGCACGGATACTCGCGTCATCTAGTTTGCGTAATTTTAAATAGCGTTTGTTAGTTTTGTACAACGTTGTTATATTTGGGGGTGCATCGCTCGGCAGTGCAGGGCCTCTACGAGACGAATCATGCATACAGACAAACGCACGGCTAATCGTTTCGAGAAGAAACGAAAAGAGAATCAAAAGGGGAACGTTAGAAATTCTCTAATCTATACGATTCTTCGTGCAATTGGATCTCCTTATTGAGGAGATTTCCGAAGGCAAATCCGCGTTTGTCTGTATTCTTCGTATATTCCCGACGTTTAAAATTGTGCGTTTCAAATTGTGCTGATTCCGCTTAATATGAATTACTTAAGCCTACATCTCGTCGCAATAGACACTGGTACGTGGATCTATGTGCGTGCGTGTGCGAGTGTGCGAGTGTAGAAACGATGTACTAAGAGCGGTACCCTTCCACACGACTTCTCTTTGCAATTGTGATAGAGGAAAAGCGCGCGTGCAAAATCGGCCGTCCGTTCTCGGAAACTTTGTTAGCAATTCTTTATAAATCGATCGATAGATTATTCTCGAGGAGGAGGGAAAAAAAAAAGAGAATTCTAACACGTTATGTGTATGTGTGTATGTGTGGGCGTGCGTGTGATAATTTCAGTAATTCTTTCACGGTTCTCTGACAGTTGAAAAGTCAACGTGCAGTGTATTCTTACTTACGCAAGTCTGTTGCCAAAAAAAAAAGAAAAAAAGAAAAAAAAAGAAGAAAACAAGGCCCGTTCTGCACCTGCGCCATTAGATAAATGTATTAGCGAACGTTACGAATGAGCATTATTTATTTCTTGTATTTATATGTCGTCAGCTGTAGAAAATATTAACGTTAGTTTATGAATCTTTTATTATCTGGTGCTGAAGGCCGATGCATTTCCTCCGATGCGAATCAAACACGAGCATTCCTATCGATAAAGTTTCGCGTGATATCGTAACAATCCTCGTTACGATCTCGCGAGAAATTTTAGCAACATTCTTATATAGCATACGTTCACAAATACAGATACAAATCGGAGAGAATATGAGGCCATATACAAAAACACGTACACCTATATATACACACACACACACACACACACAACAAACAAA